TAATGTTTTTCAAAGAATATAAAAAGTACCTTACATTGTTAAAACAACCAAAAAACAAAAAAACTATTTATTTAAAAGAAAATCTGAGAACAATATGATTTATCATGTTCTTAATTACTTGAAATTTGGAATTCAAATAAAAGTCTACGTTTATACGGATTGTTCCACATTCGCCACGTGTCGTTTTGCCACGGCAATAAAAAAGTGCTGTTTTGCCACGCATAATTTGCATATTTTCTAACAAGTGCTCTTTCGCCATGCATGTTATTTTGTTTACCTGTCTAGATTGAAAAATAAACTTTTACCTTCGACAATATCAGAAGAAAAAAAAAGAAAGAAAATTGTTTCAAATTTACCTTTATTTACATTTGATATTTATACAAATAATAAATCTAATTTAATTTAACAACATATTTAAGTTTATTTATGCACTCAGAAATATTAATTTCATTATTTAAAAGTTTATCAACAGTGCTTTTAATTATAAAATCAATATTAATATTATGTTTGGATCTCTTTTTTGGGGTTATATTAAAATTTACCTGATCAATAATAAAACCATAATAATGACTATCATTTTTTAAATGGTACACTAGTTCACAGATGTTCGGACTGTATTTCCCAACTGCACGTACGATGTCTTTCATTAAAACACGACCACATATCACCTATTATATCATTTGCTAACCATTACTTGACAAAATAATTGTTAAATTCTTCAAGAGTACTTAACTGCGGGGATTCTTCCATAATATATAGCCATTCATCGTCGACTGCAGTGGGAGGCAGATGGACCAATGCTGCACATTTCCTTATATGCTCCTTTACGTCAACGTTTTCTACATACTCCTTTGACAATCCCAGTGATTGAACTTTCCTCCAAAGACATTGATTAAAGTGAAAGTTACAACCTTTCAATCTGGCATCAGGAAACACTTGGCGAAAATCATTTAATACTGGAATTTCAAAATCAATTTTGAAGTAAATCGGATTCCATTTAGGAATTTCTCTTTTTATTAATCTAAATAGTCGTTTGTATGTGGACTCTTTTTTATTCGGCAGTAAAGAATAGAAAACAGGCACTATGAATGAAGCTTCGTGTATACTGCCTATGTCAGCATGCATTGTATAAACTTGGGAAAATTGCTTACAACAACTTTTGAAAGTTCCATCTCCGAAAAACGTGGTGCTTTGAACAATACTGCTTATTCCTTTTTTGCTGGCAACACCAAGAATCCTGTCATTATCCGTTAAATCATCAACTACTACGAAACTATCCACAAGATTATGAGGTAGAATTATATCTGAAGATTTTTTGAAACTCACAGCTCCAATTGACTTTCGTCGTTCTTTGTAGAGAGCACTTTTCTTGGATAGAAATGACGGAACTTCAGTCACAAAATCTAAGCCAGCGTCCTTAACAGTAGCCAAAGATTGATTAAAGATTTGAGGAATTGGAGTCAGTTCCTCTCTAGCTCGTTTTCTGCATATCATTAACGCCTTCTCTACTTCCACACTAGCCTGATTTGGAATGCAATTGTGCTCTTTTTGCCGTATAACTGTTGATTGGCAAAAAGTTAAATAACCACAACACTTTTGGCATGTACATCTCCAGGTTATAGACCCATCCTTATTACTTGGTAAATGGTTATAATTATAACCTAAGTAGGTGAGTTTTGGACGACCTCTTTTAGTTTCAAGAAACTCCATAATTAATTGTCACTCTCGCGCAGTTTTTGTTCGATGTTTACAGTTTAATATCAGGGTACACAATGATACTGAAATTTCAAATATTTAAATTGAACCCATTGTATAGACAAGAGCTCGGTAATCAATGATTACTATAATAAATATATAATTTAATAGTAATATTAGTAAATTGGTACTTAAATAGGTCCTAATTTTCTTAATAGGTATTATTGTATACTTGTTAATACACAATTCCCAGAATTTAAGACGGCATCAACCTCGACACATTATAATCTTTTAATACCCAATGCACTTTAAAATAGATATTTGTATTGACAAACTCGACATAAAGTTGTTATACCTGATCCCCGATCACTTATTAATAAACAACCCTATTTGTAATTATTTAAAATAATTATAATTTGAAATATGTTCTTATGTATACTTATGTATAATTTTGTTAAGTACAAAAACTGTGTTTTTTTCTATGAACTTATTATGTTGAGTATCTTTCCTATGAAATCAAAGCTAATTATGACCGAAATGTGCGTACACATTGGGGATTGACACAGGTAGCCTTACTGCAGTAATAGAAGAAAGGAAGTGTGGCGAATCTGCACTAACGTGCTACATTATCTGATTGTCGTGGAAAAACGCTACTAAAGCAGGTAAATTTCCTTTTCGTGGCGAAACAGCACGTGGCGAAACAGGAAAATACCGTATATACAGAGTGAGTTTTAAGTATGGAACTCTTTAATTATCTCGGAAACGGCTTGCACGATTGTTGTATACTTTGGTATGTAAAGGTTTTGTAATACTGCTAATATTATGGTTGTATTTACAGTGTTGACAGATCTTTTGGTTTTCTGGAAATATAATGAACTTTATTTTTTATTTTTTTTTTTAATTCTTAAGAATTACTAATTATTTTTCATGTAATGTTATACCTAAATGTCAAAATCAGATTTACAGCTACATTTACATTATCTCCGCGGAAGTTTAAAATAGTACATTATATACCTAGGGTGAGAAGTGAGCTATTATTTACCGAGCACTTTTATATCCTGAGGCGCGTAGCGCCGAGGGATATAATGTGCGAGGTAAATAATAGCTTTCTCAGCCGAGGTACACGGAAAAAAATGTGACTAGAAAATTTTACTACAATATTGTAGTAGTAGACTTGTAGAAAAATACTTAACAATTTGTAGAAAATTTTACTACAATTTATAGTTAAAAACTATTCATTATTGTAGCAATTGAATTGTCGAATAAAATGCTACAACAATAGGAAAGAATTCCACAATGTTTAGTATATTTTACTATTGTTTGTAGAAGTAGAAATTTATTACAATTATCGTAATTACTACTAACTTCTGTAAAAATTTGTACAAATATTAATAATTATCTCTACAAAAAATAGTAATTTTTTCTACAAAAAATAGTAATACTTTACATCCCTTCTTCAAAAATATTCTATAATATTGTAGAAATTCTAAGTCATGTGAACAAAACAGAATTCTGCTATTGGCCAACGTTTTCTGACGTCAATCATAAACGGACAGACAGCAGTAGCCGTTCGCCATGTTCACATAACAAAGCATGGTACATATACGAGTACCTATAACACATTATTATATTATAAGCACCGATGCGTTTGATAAAATTTTAATAATAAATTCTATTGGTGGTAAGTACATTTATTATTGTTTCTGAATAATTTACCTTTAGATAACTAATTTAAATAACCTTAGTAGATTATTTTAAAAAAATTGTTGTGGCCAACGATCGAATGTTGTGCCCAACGATCGAATTTTGTGCCAAGTTCAATGAAGTTTTTTTGTCTTAATTGTGATATACCTACTTTCTCATTTTTGTTAGTTATCTGACTTAGTCATTTAATATCCAAATCAGTGTAAAGGTGATAAATATCCCCATTTTAAGGGTATGAACAATTCAATTGGTATTAATTTTTATTTCATATTTTTCAGGTGCAGAAAAGCCAACTGAGACTGAGGGCGCTATTATTACTGTTATTTATTACATAATGTAATTAAGAATTTGTATCTTTTATATTAAAACAATAAACAATAAAAGGAACATTTTTTTCTAGGTTACAATTATAATAATTATGGAATACTACTACAAATTTTATTAAAAATTACTACAATTTGTATGAATTTTTACTATTTATTGTGTAAAATTTTCGTATTTATTTTCATAAAACGCAATACATTTTTAATATAAATTCATACAATGAATAGCAAAAATTATAACAATTTGTAGAACAATTCTTATGATGCATTTGGATCTTTTTACTAAATATTGTAGATAATAACTCTACAATACATTCTCCACAAATATTTGGAAATTTTTACTACAAATTGTCCCTGTCCCTATATGTACTATTTATTGTAGAGAAAAAATCTACAATTGTAGAAATTTGGTCTACAATTTTTTTTCCGTGTATATATAGAATTTTTTTTACTACTAACATTAATGTATTAGCAATTTTAATTTTGACATAAGTAATTTCCTAACAATTTGTTAAATATTTCTAAATATCAAGCAGACTGGAGCGTGTTTCAAATCAGACTGGCTTTATTTATGTAAAAATTTGGCATGTGTCAAATTTTGGTATGATTCTAGGAAATATCCCATTGCATTTTTGATATTTTAATGACATGGATTTATTGTTATTAATTAATAATTTTTAAAGCCGGTGTTGAATTTCCTAGTTAATATATATTTTTACTATTAACACTGATATATCGCCGTTCCGGTGGAATATCGACGTAACTGCAATTTTTTGCAAAATCGACCCAAAAAATCAGTGTTTATTTGGTAAAATAAAGACGTAAGTGTAGTACCAATTTTTGCCGCCAGATGGAAGTTGTGCGCTTATTCCATTTTCAGATATTAAAAGCATATTTCGCGAAAACAGCGCCGCAAGTGTCAGTTGTTTCTCAACCGCGGAGTAAAACGGACGTTGCTAAGTGGAATAAAGACGCAAGTGATAATTTTGCCTATCAGAATAGGATTAGTTTTCAAGCTTTTGGGAAAACAAAGGCGTAAGTGTATTATGTGGACGTATTCGACTAAATATAGTTTGCTTAAAAGCCAGAAATACAAGAAAAAATGCCATAAGTGTACTTTAAGTCTTTATTCTTTTTTAAAAAAAGGTTTTTTTCTTAACTAAAATTTGCGTAAATGTAGCAAAGTATGTATAGAAATTATATTTTTTATTTAATTTTAGATTAGACAAGCCTAATTATTGATGCGCTTTTTATCTTTAATAAGTAGCTAGATACTACCTACTTATTAAAATAAATTTAATGGATTTGTCTTCAATTGTTTTTAGATTCCTAATTGCTGCCTATCTGTATGCTGTGGAACGATTTGCAATAAAGTCAATAACACATAAATTTTTAATCCGCGGTCACACGCAAAACGAAACAGATGCTATCCATAGCATAATTGAAAAAAAAATTAGAAGATCAAAAAAGTCTGGACCCATTTATGTCCCAGACCAATATGTATCGATGATCCGTGATGCAAAAAAAAGGAAATAAGATTGATGTTAAAGAAATGGGATTTGAAAGTTTCTATGATCTGAAAACATTAATTGACGACATGGGCCTAAACATTGCTAAAAATGTTGATGGTAATGAATTTAAAATAAATGAAGTTAAGATTTTGGAGTTTCAGAAAGGAAGTGAATTAATTCGCTATAAAACTAGCTATGGGCAAGCTGAATGGTCTTCTTTAAATTTCAAAGCTAAAAGAAGACGATCCGATCTACAAGACATTAAAAATGTTACACTTAAAAAAGCTTACTCAAAGCCTTTGCAGTTATCCGAAAATAAAAAAGGGATATAAAAAGTTTAATAGAGAGCAAGCTGATACCAACATTCTACAGATACTTTTATGATTGCATTTTAAAATAAGTATTTTTAAAGTTTCATTCTCTAATAAGGTATAGTTAGTTACATTTTAAAATTTTTGTGAATTATAAGCTTAGATTTTTATTTTGTTATGTATTTTTGTTGTAATAAAAAGGACACAACTCCTAACGTGATCTTTTATTTTTGGTCAAACAAAGACGCAACTATCAAAATCCATTTTCACCTTAAGGGCACGGAAAAGCCATATATTCCATTTTATTCTACCTATTTAACAAGCTACTTACTCACAAAATTGCGATTATCATTAAAACTTTCTTTTAGAAATAATTAATTAAAGGAAAAGTAAATTGTTTTTTGTCTCTCCTGAAAGTTTTACCAATTTGCAGTTGCGTCGATATTTCACCGGAACGGCGATATATTATCATATTTGATTTGATTAGATTTTAATAAACCCAGCTTTAGTTATTTCCTACTTATTTTTCAAATATTTCAAAATATCAAGTAGTCTGGGAGTTTAGTTGTCAAATTAACAAAATGAAACTAATGAAATTTAGTTTCATTATTTACCTAGGTTTTTTTTTATTATCATTATTTACCTAGGGAGAGAAATATTACTTCTCATTAGAGGAATGGAGTAAATAATGGTGATTTCTCATGTTAGTAGTAAAAAAAATACATTTAGATGGCTATGACTGATATATAATAACAACTTTGACGTTTCAATAATTTATTATTGTTGGTGAAAGTCACAATGGATGGTTTATCCAGAAGGGGGAAACTCCTATGCGCAAGACTGGGATAGAAAAAAAATCAACCTCGTCCACATGGCGCTGCAGTCGTGTGGTGGGGTAGGTGGTGGGAGTGGAATGACCATCATAGATAAATTTACTTACATATTAATGTATCTATGGTAATGACAGATGACAGGTAAATATTAATTTTTGCGTCATGGCGGAAACTGGCTAATAAGTGTGAATCTATCGATATTGTTAAATTTGGTTGCATTCATTTGAGATTTCAATTTGTTTAATGGATTTAGTTATTATAAATTTGTGTTATTTCCTTGGAAGTGTACCGGATGGACTGTCTTCAAATTACTTTAGTAATCGAATAGTGATTTGGTTACACCTTTGTCTTTAAAATAATCTAAGAGAAATATCCAGTAAAAGAAATGCCTTTATCTTCAAATGATTTAGACATCGAATATGTTGATCGAAGTAATTAATTACTTCTTCTGGCTTAAACTAAAGGTTTGAAGACAGAATATGCTATTATTGGTAAGTTTTAAAATTTTATGTATTAATGCAAATCGTTTCTAAACTGTAATCCACGGGACCCCATCACTGAAGGGTTCCGTGAAACTTACGTGCTCAAGAAGGTAAATAAAAAAAATTAATATTAAATTCTTCATCAAATAAAAAAAAAATACTTATCTGGATATATGTATTTGAAATAATTATCATTTTTGTTGCAAATAAATAATTTAGTTATAGAATTTTGCAATAAAACCATACTATTGAAACAAACTAGGGGACATTAAAGAATGTTCCATTATTTTTTCAAAAAGATTGAGACATGTTTGTTATTTATAATACCTACCTGAGTACTGCTTATTATGTATCAATGTCCCTTTGGTCCCAATTTATTATTTATTTTTGAGTTATTATTGACTTATTGGACAGCTTTTTTGAACCCGTTTGTTAAAACGTAAAAGCGCAAATTAAAGTCACTTCTACCTTTAACAGTTAATGAAATTTTACGTTTGACAGATGTTTTGTGATTTGATATGTTCGTTTTGTATTTACTTTTGTCAAATAAGCCAAATGGGAACCATGGAGGTATAATACCACATACTTTGATTTTCTTTTACTATACGGAGAATGGTCGCACTGCGCAGCTTTCTGAGTGCCTTTTAAAAGGAGATAGAAAACTCCGCCATTTTGAACCCTTATTACGTGTTGCCTACATCTTGGCGCAATATTTTTAATAGGTGCGTTTTAATCATCCGCTTCTGCTTCGGAATTGTTGGTTTTCTTGTTTTAATCTGACAGGTTAAAACGACTAAACCGACAATTCCGGAAGCAGAAGCGGATAATTAAAACGCACCTGATATTTTGCTTGCTGCTGTCAGTGTCAATGAATATTATTTTTGAAGTCACAGTTTATTACTAAAGAATCAGTTAGGTCACTCGAACCAGTTGAAAGTTCCAAAATAACATCTACTCCAGGTATACAAATTCAGGATACGCAGAAGACTGCTGTTTTATTATAGGCGGTTGTCATATACTGTATTATCCGAGTTGCACAGTGTATAAACTGAAACATTGAGATCAAAAGTGCCGACGCAGAGTGAGCGATCTGATTCTTTAGCTGTAAACTGTGTCACAGGGTTCAAAATGGCCGCGCCCTATGTTGGGCGTGTCGGACCTCTCTCTTGCGTCGTATAGTAATCAAAGTATGTGTATAATACTAATGGAGATGCCATGAGGCAATTGTTTTGCATATGATACGTTTTATTAAAAATGACCCCACTGGGCGTGGCTTAAATGGTTGACTAAGCAGGGTCGTATTCAAATATAATTAAAGTCCGTATGCAGAATTACAACTTTTAAATGACTTACTTATTTAAGATTTGTTTCAACATGATCGATTCGAAATTAATTTGATGACATTGCGCAATTATGACTTCTACACTATTTACTATTATTTATTAACCGTTTTCCGACCAAGCCAATGTCAAGACCATAAAAGAGATTAATATTATTATATTGTTCTGTCTTCGCCGAAACCGTCCGATATATATTATGACCTGTGTGATCGAAAATCAACATTCGAATAACACTGTGCATCAGATTTGTTAATCTCTTTGTGCTTTAAAACTAAAACCCGAACTACGATTTTTCGTTCAAGGACTCTCTTGTCTTGATCAAAGCTGCCAATGTCAAAATCTGACAATGAGGAGAATTATGACATCAAATTACCAAACCAAAGACCAAACCACTACGTGAATTGTGAATAAATATATTTTAGTAAAAATACAGCCGAGTTTGTAGAAAGGATAATTAATTACTTTTAAATGTAAAACATGTAGGTCTTTCTGCTGCAGATGACATATATTAAAAATATGACCCGCTACAGTTAAAAGTTTAAAAAGACCAAAAATTCAGCTAGGTATGACTTTATGGTTAAAAGTAGATGGAAGAAAACCATGATCAAAACTACTCTGTTAAAACCAATCGGAACTAAAAAGTCTCAGATTATAGTTGTTGGTTTTATTTATGTTTGAAATAATTAATTATATAGGGTAGGTACATATATTACTAAAATTGCAAGCAAGTACCTACTTACTAAAGATTTCTATAATTGGTACCTATGTATAATAAACAACAATCTCACAGATGCACAGCATACAACTATACAAATGGAATTATAAAGATAATTTATTTTAAAAATAGGCATTCAGTTGCGATTTGTGATAACAAAAAGAAAACTTTAACCACTTTTTCTGATCAGTAATGTTAGTGTTATAATGAAAAGGTTTCTAGAAACTGGTGTTTTTAATCCTAATAAAGCATTGTGAATTTCCAAGAAAAGTGCATGATGAAAATTGTTTTGACCAAAATTTTGAATGTCATGCCATTTAAAAAGAAACCCTGTGGCTGTAAATAACATTTGACACAAAATTTTATCCTAAAAATAACTGTTTGGTTGCATTGGAGGAATAATTTCTTCATTGGTACTTTTTTAGGGTGCAAGGATGACTTGACATTACTAAATTTAAACCTTTGTTATAAGTTGTCTTTTTGCTTTAATTTCTGATACACCTGTATTGTACATACTTGAAAATATATAAAATTGTTTAAGTGGGAAGTTTATATACAAGGTGTCTCATTGAGAAAGGGATACAGAATAATGAAGAGTCTGATTAAGACTATGCTTAGAATGCGAATATTCTTCATTTTAATTTTGAAGTTTCTTATAAGTTCCCAACAAAAGTACCTATATGATTTACTTAAAAAACATCAAAAAATATATAATTATAGTTTAAATAAGTGTAACGTATCTTATGACACCAAAAACTTTTGCCAAATTTGGTAAAATTATAGGTAACTCTTCAGTTTTTCTGTGTCCCATTCTTAATAAGACAGTACAAAAAAAATTTATTATTTAAAAAAATATTTATTGACCTTTAAACAACACTATTTTGTTGTTTTGATGTCTTATGTTAGCAGCTTTATTAACTCTAGTTTTAGTGAGATATATTAGTCGGATACTAACATATTTATCAACTATGCACTTGATTAATAATATTCTATGATTATCCAACACAAACTGGTCCAAACTGTGCTGCATAATATTCGAAAAGACATTAGAATTTATGAATTCTTTTAAAACTAATGTGCTGATGATATCAACTTATATTTTTTTCTTAGAGTCTTTCATAAGTTTTAATATTTTTTCACATTTTAAACAAATGTTTATTACATCTTCCGATGGATATTGCAAACCATTTTTATTCTTTATATCAATGAATGAAAATAGAAACAAATCTCTAATTTTACTTATTAAAGCATCTAGACATTGTTCACAAATGATTTTCTTTTTTAAATAATAAACAACATATCCAGAAATGTAAGTGATTATATATTTAGAAAAGGAGGAGACTGGATCTGGTAAATAATAATGATCATTTTCAATAACATTCACTTTCTCAAAATCGTCAATATTATCAGACATTGCATATTCCTTTGAAGTAACATTTAACTGGCTTGTTATATTGCACTTTAAAATAGTTAATTCCTCCAAAGGAATACAATTTCAACATGAACTAAAAATTTTTTATATGCAGACTGAAATTGCCTGACTGTAGGATTATTGTTAAAACTTCCATGAGACCGTATTGAACAAAAAAATAATTCTAAATTGTCTTTATTATAAAGTTAGTCAAGCCAATGTTCTTTATTAAGTTAGTTATTTAAGTTTTACTG